TAAAAATAGGGATACCTTGGGCCCTGGCCCTCAGGAAGAGATGGACATTGTCATTACCCACAGGCTCAGCCCTGCCCATGGGTACCCACCTGGGGCGGCCCCGCAAGGGGCAAAGGCTCCCAAGCCAGGCCTCCTTCGTTGCCCTGCCTGGATCTGGGGGTTCCCTCTCCTTCCCTTCAGCTTCTCCTCCTTTGTCCCGCTTCCACCACCCTGCTGCCTCACCCCCAGGCCTGACACTGGTGACAGTTCAGGAGAGGGGTTTCCAGGACCAACCAGGGAGAGGCAAACCGCAGGCTGCCAGCCTGGGCTGACCACCTCTGGGAGGGGAGCTGGGCAATGAAGGCAGGAGGGCCAGGTGACTCCCTGTCCCCAGTGCCGGGTACAGGGCTGAAGTGAAGGGCGGCAGGGACAATGACGTGTGGGGGGGGTCAGACATGGAGCAGGGGGAGGGAAGCTCACTGTAGGGCAGAGGTCAGAGTGCCCCGAATTCTACTGGCCGAGCTGTGACCTTCCAGGCGTCCAGCCTAACTGCGCCGGGCCCCGGACACCCCTCTGAGCAGAGAACCATGGCCTGTGAGAAGTCTGAGGGCCCCACGCCTTCTTTGTCCCCCTGATTTATTCTTTAGTGGAGACCACAGACCCAGAGAGGACAGCAGCTTGCTCCAGGCCATACAGCAGTGAGTGGCAGAGAAGAGGCCATTGTCCGGCCATTCTGATTCTGACGCTGGTGCTCTTCCCAGCACATCATGTCTCACCCCACCCCGCCAACCCGAATCATTACTACCTGCTGGACAAAGTCAGAGGGGCAGCCCTACCCGGCCCTGCTTCTCTCTGTGCTCCACACTCCTGCTCTGGGGCTTGAGGTCTGCCTCTCCCCATTCTGGCCTGAGGCTCCGGAGGGGAGGGGTGGGCGGCCGGGGCTGCACAGAGCGCGTCCCACCCGTTTGCTGGTGCATGGAGACCAGCCAGGGATGGGGCCGTGACTGAGCCTTCCGACTACCACTCAAGCTGCCCTCCTCCTGCTGTTGTAGGCAGACAGACCGCGCAGGGTTGTGTCCCGACAAATAGTCACAGTCAACTCCTCCCACTGCCCAGCGCGTTCCCTTTGTGGGCGCACTCGACAGTGTATGGGGTGCCTCATCTCTGCCCCGTGGGATTGTGGGTGCTTTCTTTATGCAGCTTTGTCTAGGTTTTTATGAAATTTTTAGAGTATCTGCGCTGGTTAAGGAAGCCCTCCTATTCTCAACCTCGCACCCACCCTTGACTGGGTTCCAGCTTAAATCGCTCACTGCTGTGCAGACCAGACCTTAGCGCTGCTGGGGGCCTGCACTTGGCACCGTGAGTGGCAGGCTTAGGACGCCCTCTCAAGCCTTTTGATGCCCATGTCATTGCTCTTTTCTTGAAGGCAAGAGAGAGATGATATAAAACATTACATTTTATCAAATTTCTCCAGAGTGAACATAATCCTTTCTTTCAAGGTGGTTCTGATCTTGTTTATATACTTTGCCAAGATGCCATCTGGCTCATTGACACACACTCAGATCAATTAGTCAGTCAACAGATATGTACCGAGCACCCCATGCATGAAAAACCCTGTGCTAACGCAGGGGCACGTCTAGGGAGAAGTGGGGGTGCCCGGGAAGCAGCTGGACCCAATGTGGGATCACAGGACTTGTCCTCAAGAAACTGATGGCCCAGCTGGCCCAGGCATGGCAGGTGTGGGTATGGCGCAGGCTCTCAGGTTCTCAGGACAGGGAAAGGTCACTGAGAGCTAGGGATTTCGGGGAGATTTGGAATTAATGGGGGCCTTGAAGGATGGGCAGAGCAGGAAGGAGGAAGGCAAAGGGTATTTTAGAGCATGGCCATGGCATGTTCTGGGGACAGTGCAGACCCCATCTCAGCAGAGTGCACAGGTCCTGGAGGGAAAGTAATTCGGATACTTACTAAGCAAGATTGGTTCCTGCCGATAAGGGGTTCCAGGTAATTATTTCATCCTAATAAAAAGAGTGCTAAGGAAGAATGGAAATAGCCCAGAATGATTTAGAGGCTACTTCATAGCTTTAAAAATATTACTTATATGTTTTTTTAAAAGATTTTTTTATGAGAGAGAGAGCACGAGCAGGGGGATGAGCAGAGGGAGAGGGAGCAGAGAGAGAATCTCCAGCAGACTCCCCGCTGAGCACGGATTCAGATATGGGGTTCGATCTCAGGACCCTGAGATCATGACCTGAGCTGAAACCGTGAGTTGGATGCTCAACTGACTGAGCCACCCAAGTGCCCCTAAAAATATTACTTATATGTTTTATAAAATTACCTAAAAAAACTTACCAAGAATTTTTACCTATGCCCTCAGCATAGAATCGGCTTATGGGCCTCTCTCCCTCTGGCAGAATTGCTTTTGGCCCAGAGAACAGTTTGTTAGTGTTAGTGTGGTTGGGCACCGCTCCCCTACACAGAGCTGCCTAATCTCTTTCCATCTCTGAGCCTCAGTTTCCGCATCTATAGCAGTAGGGATAGTAAGACTGACTTTGGAAGTGTCTTTCTCTTCCAGCTCCCTACCCACTTTTTTTCTCCTTCCTTCCTTATTCCCTTGTTTTTTAAATATGTTTCCCTTCTCTGAAAATCCTTTCTTTGCTTTCTTACTTAGCACAATTCACCACAGGTGAGGCATTCATTCATTTGCCCTTTCCTTCTGAGACATCTGGAAGCCAGAACTGTGCTTGAATGATAGAGATTTCCAGAGAAATAGGAGGTCTGTCCTTGCCCCCAAGAATGTACAAGTCTTCCTGGGAAGATAGGGCTCAAACACCAGACAATCTGAGGACATCAGTGAAGGGAGGGCCAACAGATCAACCACCAGTCATTGCCATGGGCGTTCAGAGCCAGGAGGGCAAAGCAGGCCTGGAGCAGGGGTAGGCTCCAGAAACATTCCAAGCCTCAGTTTACTCATCTACTAAATGGGGCTATTGGCAATGCTAGTCTCATGAGATTGTTGTGAGCAGTGAATGAGAGAATGCCTAGAGAGAGCTCAGCTCGGGGCCTGGCAGTCCTAAGTACTTAGTGACTGATGGCTAGTACCATTAGCCTTGTCCTTAATTGGGCTGTGTAGGGGAGAAAATACCGTTCTGGTCAGCACAGGTGTGGAGCCCTGCCTAGGAACCCATGTGACCCCCCAGGGCTGTATAAACAGCATGAGGCTTCCCAGGCCCTGGCTGCTGTGGCTTTTCTGGGTCCTATGGATCCAGGGTAGCCCTCACTGAGCCCAGAGCACAGGAGGCTGCGACTTAGCAGGGCTTGGGTGGAGCCCTGTACTCGTATGGATGGGAAACATGAACACCAAAGGAGGCTCATCCAGGCTCTCAGCTCAGCTGCGTCCTTTGCACTGGGGCATGGGTTTCCAGAGAGAAGGTGAGGCAGCCAGTGGGCCCTGGGATTGTGTTGGGTGGGTGCTGGTCACACCAGGCTCCCGGGTATGGGAAGGGCATGGTGACTCATGAGAGCTCTAGATCTGAGGGCCCCCAAACACAGGCACCTGGCCTGGGGGATGGTGGCCTAGGTGCTCAGAGCCCATCTACGCTCCCCAGTGACAGCTGCTTAGCCTTGTCAGCTTGAGTACGGCTACATTCCGCCCATGTGGGGACTGGTAATCCTAGTTGTTGCCGTTCCTGAGCACTCACCATGAGCAGGTGCTGTTCTAGACGTTTCCTCAGCTCTGAGGTGGGGGTGACAAGCCTGGGCTCACAGGGCAACATGAAGGTGAAGAGACCATGCATGGCAGAGCAGTGAGGCCCACACCGGGAAGGTTGCTGGCACTCAGCTCACAGCTGTTCTCCTGACGGGAAGGTAAAACCCGTCTCTAGAAGAGTAAGCAGGACCCCAAACGGCAGGGCTGACTGGAAAGCAAGTCGCACGGGGCTCCAGCTGATGAGGCCCCATCTGCAGCACCACCTGCCCTCTGGCTCAGCTCTCGGCCCTTCTCCCAGGCCTCCTCCCTTGGCACATTGGGTTTTCAGGAAAAATAACCCACCCTTGTCAAGCTTTCTGGACATCAGCCCGGACAACTCTGGTAGCAGAGATGAAACGGAAGTTCAGACTGTGTCTTCTGAGGAGGCCTGTGATCATGCCCCCATACTCGGCCTCAGCCCCCAGGCAGCCGGCAGGAAGGGCTGCCCCACTTCTCAGCCAGGGCCTGGGGAGACATACCTTCCTACACATGGTACGTGTCACCACGGGCAGGTGCTCAGGTAGCTGACCTCTAGTCGTTTTGGCTGATGTTGGGGCTATACAACCAGCTAGATTTCCTGGTGAGGGAGGGAGTTGGGGGAGGTCTGTCCACCAGGGCTCTGCTCTGTCTGGGGCAACCAACTTTCCCATTTTGTGTGGGACTGAGAGGTTCCCAGGGTTAGGGGGCTTTTGCCACTAACACCAGAGCAGTACTGCAGAAACTGGGATCGTTGGCCACCATGGCCCTATTTCCAGGGCCATTCTAGAGCCTTCTGTGTCTCCTTGGGCATGAGGTCTCTGCTTCTTGCAACAACCGGGCTTGCTCTTCCATCGCCCAGGGGCCAACCTGGAGGCCTCCTCTACTCCCCTGAGCCCATAAAAGGAGATGATGCTAGAGAACGTCAAGACTGGGGCTGTGGGTTCCCACACCTCCTAAGGCGGAGGCTGAGATCTGGGCTTGGATGACAAGCCCCTTTGAAGAACTGATGGATACTTGGTCTTCTCGGCAACACGGGGCGGAGGAGACGTCTCGATGTAGCCATCAGTTCAACGGGGCTCCTGTTTTACGAGGCCAGGAAATGTTCATGGGAAGCTAAATAACAGGGTAATGAGGGGTTCCTATAGAAAGCGGTATTAACTTTAATGAGGAGAAAACCCTTTGTAAAGGGCAACGCCCACTGGGGCAGAGATATAAACCCGGGGTGAAGAGCTGCTTCTCCGCATTGGGGGGCGCCTAGCCTCGAAGACCCATCACTTGTGTCTGGGCTGCCGAGGCCATGGCTTCCAAGGGCCTCAAGGCCAGCTTCTCTTCGGGGTCTCTCAAGGGCCTGGGAGGGGCCGGTGGGGGCTCTGCTCGAGGGTCCATGATGTACTCCAGCAGCTCTTGCAAGCTCCCGAGCCTCTCCCGCGGGGCCCGGAGTTTCTCTGCGTCCTCCGTCGGGCTGGGCAGGAGCAGCTGCAGGGCGGCCAGCTGCCTTCCTGCTCTCTGCCTCCCGTCCGGAGGCTTTGCCACCAGCTACAGCCTGGGCGGGGGCTGGTTTGGGGAGGGCATCCTCACCGGCAGCGAGAAGGAGACCATGCAGTCCCTGAACGACCGCCTGGCCAGCTACCTGGAGAAGGTGCGCCAGCTGGAGCGCGAGAACGCCAGCCTGGAGTGCCGCATCCAGGAGTGGTGTGAGCAGCAGGTGCCCTACCTGTGCCCCGACTACCAGTCCTACTTCCGGACCATCGAGGAGCTCCAGAAGAAGGTAGGAGGTTCGGAGAGGCTCTGGCTGCCCAGGAGTCTGATGCCATGAGCCCTGGACTGGAAGCTGGAATACCTGTGCCAGAAGGCCTGCTCCCATGGGGCACGTCAGAGGTCATGGAGCGTGTTCACATCTCTGGCCTCGTCTGCTCCTCCCAACGAGGGAGATATCGTTAGCCCATTTCACAGATGAGAACACCGAAGCTCAGGCTGGTTAAGTGACTTATTCTAGCTGGTCCAGCTGGCAGCTGCGGGAGCCAGAGCCGGGCTCTATGAACTCACTGGCTGCTAGCATGGTCTATCTCTATGAGTTTTAATTTCTTCATTTCTTTTTTTAAGGTGAGGGGATTGAGCTTGACTTGTTTGGTGCAGATCAGGTTTTCTGTAAAGAACTCAGGGAAGGAGAAGCCCATAGCCCACATCCCCTGAGGGTCCCTGCTGGTTCCTGGGAGGGACCATTTGCGACCAAGGAATCACAGAGTACTCTTGTTCATGACCTGCCCTGAGCCCCCAGTGGCCTGGGAGACGGGAAGACAAGAGTTAGCCACCATGCCAGTTTTTGCTACAGCATTTCCACACTCCCCCATTCTATGCCAGGTTACGGGTCCCAGAGGCACTGCACTGGGAGGGGCTATAGAGGCTTCCTGGTCTGATCCCTACTTTGTGCCCGTAAGCCTCATGGAGCCTCAGATGCCAGGAATCCAGGGATGGTTGACTCCCTCTCTCAGGAGGTGGCCCTTGCCAGCTTTGGGGAGCTCCAGCCAGCAGATTGTCCTTCCTTTCACTGATGTCACTTCTTTATTTCCCCAGACCCTGTGCACCAAGGCAGAGAATGCCAGCCTGGTGGTGCAGATCGACAACGCCAAGCTGGCCGCAGATGACTTCAGAACTAAGTGAGTGTCCTGCTCGCTCCTTGGTTAGGGGCTGGTAGAACTGGACATTGGTGATGCCAGGACGCAGGGTTTTGGCTGCACTAAGTCCCTGAGGTATTAAGGTGGGACACACAGAACCAGGGCAGCCTGGGGTGGGATCTGACTTGGATGTAAAAAGGAAACGGAGCTTCAAGCATCCTGTTATGTACCTGCCAGATACGAGATGGAGCTGTCCATGCGGCAGCTGGTGGAGTCGGACATGAACGGCCTGCGCAGGATCCTGGATGATCTGACCCTGTGCAAGTCCGACCTGGAGGCCCAGGTGGAGTCCCTGAAGGAGGAGCTGCTATGCCTCAAGAAGAACCATGAGGAGGTGAGCATGGGAAGGAGGTGAACATGGGGAAGGAGGTGAACATGGGGAAGGAGGTGAGCATGGCGAAGAAGGTGAGCATGGGGGAACAGGTGCACATGGGGGAGCAGGTGGACATGGGGAGCAGGTAGGCATAGGGGAGGAGGGTGAGTGAGGCAGCCAGCTGGGACAGTTAGCGCTGACCCTGATCTGTGCCACAGGAAGTGAACTCGCTGCGCTCCCAGCTTGGTGACCGGCTCAATGTTGAGGTGGACGCTGCCCCACCTGTTGACCTGAACCGTGTTCTGGATGAGATGAGGTGTCAATATGAGACCCTGGTGGAGAATAACCGCCGGGATGCTGAAGAATGGTTCAACACTCAGGTAGGTAGCTGGAGAGAGTCAGTGTAATAGAGACACAGGGTGGGTCAGACAGAATTGACCTTGGGGCTCTGAATCAGGAAACTGAGTTTGAGCCTCAGCTCTGTTTTGACCTTGCTGCGCACCTTGGGCAGGTTGCTGTCCTCTAAGCAATAATGTCCTCAAAGATGAAATGAATGGGTTGGACTGGGTGTTCTGGAAGGTCCTTCTTGGCTCATGATTCTGTGCGGCCTCTGTAGACCTCTGAAGCTGAATCCCGGTGTTCCTGACCAGGTCCTGTGTGTGTATGTTTCAGACCGAGGAGCTGAACCAGCAGGTGGTATCCAGCTCAGAGCAACTGCAGTCCTGCCAGGCGGAGATCATCGAGCTGAGACGCACGGTCAATGCCCTGGAGATCGAGCTGCAGGCCCAGCAGAGCATGGTGAGCCCGAGGCTTGAGGAGGGCTCCTGGGGGACCAAACCCAGCAGCACATGAGCCCCCTGGGCCTCCATGCTCTGACCACACAGGCAGGCTTCAGGGGTTCAAGTTCTTGAGCATCAGGGACTTTTTGTGTAGGGTGGAATGAGGTCCCAGCCCCCATTCACAAGTGTCCCAGGGGTAAAAGACAGGAGACCTGTGGCAACCGACATGTCCCAGGGCAGCAGCTCTGTGTACTTGTGTAAGTACATTCATTCTGAGTAATTATCACGTCCTCAGGGATATCCTTAGTAGGGGAGATACTCTCTAGATCAGGGAGGCTATAGGGGCTAATTGGCTATCTCAAATGAGATGTCCGATTGTGGTTCATCTGGGTTCAAAGTGATTCTCTGAGCTTCTGTTCTTGGATTCTGAGGACTCGCTGCAACCCAGATGGATTAAGTGCATCTTCTCCGACTTCTCACCTTCATCTTTTGCTGTCACAGCGAGATGCTTTGGAATCTACCCTGGCGGAGACTGAGGCCCGCTACGGCTCCCAGCTGGGCCAGATGCAGTGCCTGATCAGCAACGTGGAGTCCCAGCTGGCTGAGATCAGGAGTGACCTGGAGCGGCAGAACCAGGAGTACCAGGTGCTGCTGGACGTGCGGGCCCGGCTGGAGTGCGAGATCAACACGTACCGAGGCCTGCTGGAGAGCGAGGAGGGCAAGTGAGTGGCATTGCACGCTCGCTCGTCCTCCTGATGCAGTCTACAAAGTTCTGGGGAGACCCCATGGTGCCTGGGAAGAGCCCAGCATTTGGAGTCAGGAGCCCTGGGGTTTAAGTTCTGGTCTTATTACAAATTCATCATGCAACCCCAGCAAGTCCTTTTTCTCTCTGGACCTCTGTTTTCCCATTGGTAAAACAAGGGGGCAGGACTGGGTGATTTTTAAGGTGCTCTGAGTTATTGAAAACAGTAACTGGAAAATCACAGTAATCTGAACTTTCTCTTTCTCTTAGGCTTCCCTGTAACCCATGTGCTCCTGACCACTCGTCTGCCAAGTCGTGCCTCCCCTGCCTTCCTGCGGTCTCCTGCGGTCCTGGTGTGGTCCACACCACCTGCAGCCCCCGCCCTATGTGCGTGCCCTGCCCGGGGGGCCGGTTCTGAGAGTGACTGGCCCAGAAAGTCCAGGCCAGTATCCAGGGCCTGGACTTGGCCTCTATTCAACCCTAACCCTAGAGCCTGATCCCCTCTCTCTGTGCAGAGCGTGCTGGGGCCTGGCTCTGAGAGGGCTCACTGCAGATGCATCCCTCCAAGTCTCTCCAAGCCTGTCACGAAGGCTGGCCATCCCTGAAAGCCTTAACTCCTCATCATTTCAGTGGGTGCCAGCCAGACTCTCTGTTTTCAGGCTGCCTCTGGGGTCAGGTTTTCCTTCCAGGTGCTGTTTTAGTGGGTTCTGGAATGCAGTAGAAGTCTTCTGTGGGCAGAATAATAAAGTGCATTTGGCTTTGGCTCTCTATGCCTAATGGCACTGTTCTGGTGTCCCTGTTGTATGTCTCTGTTGGGTGAAGAGAGGGGTGACTCCTGGTCAGATGGATAGGGATGTTTGACTGCGTATGACAAGGGGATGACAGGGTCCCTGTGGCCCTGTTTGGGGTGACTAAGGGCCTCCAATGGGGCTTTTTGCTCAGCAGCTCAGCTTTCCTGATGAAGACGCTTCTCCAAGATTCCCATGTGGTGACCCGTATTACCAGACCTCTTCTACTTTGCTCCTTAGTCTATATGGCCACCCTGGGATCCCAGAGGAGGGTGGATAAAGCCAGGGCCAGTACAAGGTGAAGCATTTTAGGCTCCTTTTCAATTCATGCCTCTGGTTCTCATAAGAGAAGCAATGCGGACATCCCACACCGGGGTATTTTCATTTCATTCCTTCCACTGCGATACTTTCACACAGCCCTCCAACTCGGCAGATCTCCCCAAAACCTACACCCCTGCAGGTGCAAGAGTGAGCCCACCATTGTGACCTCCACCTACAATTCAGATATTCTTTTTTTTTTTTTTTTTTTTTAATTTTTTTATTCTTATGTTAATCCCCTTACATTACAACATTAGTTTTAGATGAAGTGTCAATTCAGATATTCTTGTCTGTAAGAGACTCATCATGTTCTCTGTGCCTTTGGCATCTGATGCTGCACACAGAGCCTTTGGGTACCAGAGCATTTCCGCATGGAAGTGGGAGCTCCCAGCCTCTTGGCCCAAAGATTCTGGTTTATGTCCAGACTGTCCTCCCCCAGTAGACCAGGAAAATGCCAAGCTCCATGGATTCCAATGGGAAATGGTGATGAAGATAAAACTTTCTCAGGTAGAAAGGAAGGCAGGTTGTCTCCAGATAGCCCTGTGCTCCTTATAAGATGCCAAGAGCACCACTATGGAATTTTAGTGATGTTAGGGGAGTTGTAACAGCACACAAGGTGGAGAACAGATTGGGGAAGGACAGGTGACCAAGTGGGCCTGAGACCCCCACCCCTTAAGGGGGCCTGGTATCATTCACCCTGATTCAACTTTAGAGTTGTCCCTTTAATAACCCCCCATAAAGGAGAGCCTGGGGCTTTGGTTTCTCCCAGCCCCCTTGCTCCTGGCATCCTGCACTGCCTTGGCTTTGGTCTTCTTGGAACACCTTGGCTGGTTTTGTTGAGGCTCAGTCACTGGAAGAAGATGATAGTCTCATGATCATTCACTTCATTCAACAAACCTTTGCCGAGCACCTTCCTGGGCCAGACAGTGTGTCAGGTGCCAGGAGCAGGATTGACCCTTGTCAGAGGGAGGCCTTGGGGTGGGAAAAGAAGGGCACCCACTCCCTGCCTCAGTGGTAGGAGGAGGCCTGCTGAAGGGGCCGTGGCGTTAGCGTGATGAAGACGGGCTCCGAATGTAGAGTCAGACTGACCTGGGTTCAAATCCTGTCCCCAGCACTTACCGCCTGTGGGAGCTTTAGCAGGGGGTGCCCCATTGCTGAGTCTCACTTTCCTCATCAGTAAAACAGAAGCCATGACACTAAACGTACTCTGAGGTCCGTACTGCTTTCCCGAGCATTTGCTGGGCCTTTGAAAATGGCTCAATATTGTTGACCGTCTATCCTAGCTGGAGGCCTGGATTGCCCTGAGGCTGGGCATCTGCCTCTTCCCTGTCCAGACTTTCATTTCTGAGCTTTCCTTCCAGACAGCAATGCCTAGCAGCCAAAGTAGAGATGCCGTTCTGTGGCTTATCTTTTCTGATTCGGAGAAAAGTCAGGCTTGGGGGACCTGCAGTCAGCAAGCCGTGCAAGGGTTGAGCACACAGCTCTAGTTAACTCCATGTCCCATCAGCCACACTTCCTCCTTATGACATCCTTTGTGGTCCAAACCCCTTCCAAACCCATCCTACTTCCCTCCAAGATGCAGCGAACCAGATCCTGCAGAGCCTTGCCTCTTACTATTATTTACGTCATCTGCTTGTGCTCTTTGAATGTAATGCTGTTCCCATTAAGTCAGAGATTCTCAACCTTGGCCGCACTTTGGAATGACGAGCATATAGATCACTGGTCTGACGCCCAGCAACCCTGACTTAGTTGGTCTCGGATATGGCCTGGGGTTGGGGGTTTAAAAAGCTCCCCAAGTGATTCCAGTGCACAGCCAGGGTTGGGGGTTCCTTTGTCGGTGGGGAGGACCTTCCGGCTTGGCAGCTGGGGCCTCAGGCAGCTCTGCCGTCGCCATCATGCTGGCGGATCCCTGACGGGTGCTTTTGACTATCTCTCAGCTCTGGCTTTTTTCTCTCCTTTAATCTCAAACATCCGCACTGAACTTGAAATTTCAGTTATCATATTTTTAATTCCAGGGAGTTATTTTTTTGTTCTCTGTTCCTCTTTTATAATATCTATCATGACTGCCGGTTCTTAACTCTGAGGTCATTATAAAATACACACACATGTATATATATTAGTGTATTAATAGATTGTTTTAGAGTCCGCGTTGTTTCCGTTTCCCCCAGTTTCCTCTTAACTGTTTTGTTTATTTGCTTGTTTTGTTGTGTCTCTGTCTGTGATGCTGGAAACTTCTCTCAAATGTCTGGGGATCCTTCTGCTTATGTTTGATGACACAACACTATGGACGGGTTGGCAAACTGGCTTTTGGATGGTAGAACTACCTAAATTCAGCTTTGATAAATCTTTTGTTTGGGGTCGGTCTGGTTTTTCAAAGAATGGAAGGAAGGAGACAGTCTGGGGCCAGGCCCCTGCTTGCAACCTACCTATCCTTGTTTATTTTTATTTTTTAAAAGGATTTTATTTATTTGAGAGAGAGAGAGCGCGGGAGAGAGAGCACAAGCAGGGGGAGCGGCAGGCAGAGGGAGAAGCAGGCTCCCTGCTGGGCAGGGAGCCCAACGCAGGACTTGATCCCAGGACCCTGAGATCATGACCTGAGCTGGAAGCAGACGCTTAACCGACTGAGCCACTCAGGCACCCCCTACCTACCCTTGTTTATTTTATTTTTATTATTATTATTTTTTAAAGATTTTATTTATTTATTTGAGAGAGAGAGACTGAGAGAGAGAGAGCATGAAAGGGGGGAGGGTCGGAGGGAGAAGCAGACTCCCTGCCAAGCAGGGAGCCCGATGCGGGACTCGATCCAGGGACTCCAGGATCATGACCTGAGCCGAAGGCAGTCGCTTAACCAACTGAGCCACCCAGGCGCCCCCTACCCTTGTTTAAATGGGCCCTCCACCCTGGACACAGTCAGCCCCCAGTTCTCACTGGTGTTTCTTCCGCGTTTGCTTCCACTTCCTTGCCCTTCTCTGAGTGACTTTCCCTTCTCTCCCTTTTTCAAATACACTTCTTTGCCCAGTAGCTGGCTTTGGCCTCAGAGGTGTTGGGGTACAGTGGATAGGCTTTGGACTCAGACAGAACTGAGTTTGAGAACAGGCTGCACATGCTCCTGCGCTGGGTCCACCTGTCCCTGTCCCCATCCTTCACCCGGCCGGGGCTTTGAACAATGCCGTTTTCCTTTTTCACACACACTCTCACGTGAGACCCAGTCCTTCCTCTGTCATGTGAACTGATGCTCATGCCAAGAGTTTGAATTTAGTGGATTTTGCTGAAGGTCTCGCAAACACCACAGAGTGGGACTGCACTCCACAGCATGGCCCCTCAGCTCCTTCCTGGTATCTGTCCTCCTCGCTCCTGCAACCCTCTCCCCTTCACCCCTTGCTTCCATGATTGTCCTGGGAACTTCCAATTCTTCTCCCTTTTCTCCCTCTGATGTCTTGTCAGCCAACATCCAGGCACTTGGGGTCCCATCTTCTACCCCAAGAACTTAGTGTATTTTTTCAAGTAAAGACAGCTCTGGGACGCCTGGGTGGCTCAGGTGGTTAAGTGTCTGCCTTCGGCTCAGGTCATGATCCCAGGGTCCTGGGATCGAGTCCCTGATCAGGCTCCTTGCTCAGCGGGAAGCCTGCTTCTCCCTCTCCCACTCCCTCTGCTTGTGCGTGTTCTCGCTCTCTCTCTCTCTGGCAAATAAATAAAATCTTTAAAAAAAAAGACCGCTCAAATAAGTCAAACAGAGAAAGACATGTATCATATGACCTCACTGATATGAGGAATTCTTAATCGCAGGAAACAAGCTGAGGGTTGCTGGAGTGGGGGGTGGGGTGGGAGGGAGGGGGTGACTGGGTGATACACACTGGGGAGGGTATGTGCTCTGGTAAGCACTGTGAATTGTGCAAGACTGTTGAATCTCAGATCTGTACCTCTGAAACAAATAATGCAATATATGTTAAGAAAAAAAAAAAAGAAGAAGAAGAAGGTAGCAGGAGGGGAAGAATGAAGGGGGGGAAATCGGAGGGGTAGACGAACCATGAGAGACGATGGACTCTGAAAAATAAACTGAGGGTTCTAGAGGGGAGAGGGGTGGGAGGATGGGTTAGCCTGGTGATGGGTATTGAGGAGGGCACATTCTGCATGGAGCACTGGGTGTTATGCACAAACAATGAATCATGGAACACTACATCTAAAACTAATGATGTAATGTATGGGGATTAACATAAGAATAATAAAAAAAAAAAAGACCGCTCTTTCTGCAAGAGGAATTCTGGTGGCAGGTATTAAGATCTAGATGCTCCTCCTATACCTTAGTGGTTCT